TATTATTTGTCTATTTGTTTTCCTGAGAAACTATTTTGTAGATAATAATATGTAAAACAATAACCATTGATAATTTCCTACCATTTTGTCTGTAATTTGCTAACGCCCCCCTATTATTATGTTATCCTTCTTTTAGTCTTTAAAATAAAAACTATAAATTAAAAAAAAATTAAAAAAAAAGAAACATGACAACCTGACAGAAGGAATTGATTCCTTATTTTCTATAATTAATCAGACTTACACTGATAACCAAAGAAACCACACAGCATCAAGAGCAGCAGGCTGAAGATGCCCAGGACGACAGGAATTATTCCACATACAGAACAGGACAATGGAGGAGCTGAGAAATAGAAAGAATGTTAATGAAAAGTAGTGTGAGTTCTTGTTATCTGAACATTATCAATTTTGCACTTTATGTTGTTCTCAAAATACTGTGACTTTTTAAAAGACAATATCCAGTGTGTGAATTACTATTATCTACCAGGCTAAATGAATAAAAAGTACTTAACAGGATGTACAGAAAAGACAGCATGTTAGATCTGTTACCTTTTTTTTTCCTGAGGCAGTGTCTCATTATGTGGATCAGGCTATCCTTGAACTTAATATGTAGCCTAGGCTCACCTCAAACTCACAGCAATCCTCCTGCCTCAGTCTCCCAAGTTCTGAGATTGTGACGATGCCTGGTAGATCTTCTGTCTTTTATAGGTGTCCTTATAAAATTGCCTTTGGCTGGCATCTTAGATCTGGAGAAAGTTTCCACAACAAAAGAGTGCCTTACCATAGCTATACTCTGTACAAATGGTATCCTTCATGTTGGACACCTGCCTTCCTTCTGGAAGTCTAGAATTGCTACATGCCAGCTGCAAGCTGCCTACATGATCAGCACCCACTAAATATACTGCCCACTCGACCTCTAATGAGTTCCTTGATTTCACAGCAGTATTAAAACACTTTGCTGGGGAACAAGCAGGGCTTCTGTGACTCCACTGGGAGGAGCCCACAGAAGCCTGAGCCTGGTCTCTCTGCACTTCACGACCCTGCCCATTTTCCTTTGCTGATTTGTTTGGTATCTTGTCCCTGTCGTAACTCTTAGCTCTGAGTAACCTACGTATCGAGTTCTCTACAGCTTCCTACTGAATCATCAGATCGGACTGTGAGCTTGCTGATTGTCAACACATGCAGGGATTTCATATGCAAGCTCTTAATACATATCTTTAAATACTATTTACAAAATTTCAGCTCAGATTACATTATCCTCATTAATGTGATTAAATGAGGGAATGCTTAATATCTTTATACTTAAAAGAAACTCTTTTCCAGGCTTGATTGACTACTAGCATTCTTCCCTCAGAAAGAATTACTGTAATCTTTAGGACATATTTCAACCAAAGGATATTTGAGTTTAAGTGCTTCAATAGCTATAAATTTTAATGCTACAAAAATAAAATGTCCATCTCCACATTCTAGAAATTAAACTCTTACAACAATGTTTACGTGCTTTTTGCTGATATGTTCATTTCCCTCCAGAATACATTCATATCCAGTAGTGTAGATTTATTTTTTTATGGAAGAAATGCACTTTTTAAAAAAGAGTTGTACATCTGAAACAAGGTGAAGCAGCCATGAAGAAAAATTTAATGTCAAAATCTAATCTAAAGTCAAAACATTTTATAATTTCTTTATAAAACATAACATTATAATAAAACTATAAAACATGCTATAACGCAGTAGTTATTATCAAGGACATATCAGCTGGGAATGCCCGGGCATGTTTGATATCACAACTGAAGAACAAGTGCTACAGGCATCTAGGTGTAGAAGCAGGAACACTTTTCAGCATCCCACAATAACAGCAAAGAATTGCCCAGCCCAATAGGTCCACAGTATTGACATTAAGAAGCCCTACTCTAAATTTTGTTAAGTTATGATCAGAAAGGAGGCAAAATGTTATAACACTTTTCCTTCATTTTTTCCTTTTTAAAAACTTGCTGGATTTTAAACCTTGCTCGTGTTGTCTTTCAGGTTCACATAAGGAAGCAAGCTTAAAATTGGGCAAATATCTTTTCAGTATCTTAACACATGAAAATTTTAAACCCATCTATGAGAAGAAATGTCATTGTTATTTCTATATATGTTTTTAAATCTAGATTTTGTCTAGGTATAAAAATCCAAACAGAATGAATACTAGTAAAATTAGGAATGAACTGGCTGTAATACTGACAAGAAAGAACAAAAGTGAGTGCAATGTGTTATGTATACTTTACCAGCCTCATTGGTATTTCCAGGAATTGGTTTCCATTCATCCTCCGGAGGAAGGGGAGGCTGGAAGTCGGGGGGTAGCACTTCCAAGTCTGCAATGGAGGTCATCTCTGCCTGCTCTGTCATTTATTTTAGCACAGAAAATATATGATTAATGTGCAACCTTATAAAACAAATTAAGTCACAATTTGGCTTAAATTGTTCATCATAATTTCCAAGGATCACTAAAACTTCAAGAGCACCAGTGATATAAAAATTTTACAAAAGACTTAGATCACATTTCATACCACCAGCCTATCAAGCACTTCTAAATTTATTTATATTTACTGGTTATACTTGTGGTATAGGTAGGAATAATTTTTTTCCTAATTAAACAGAAAAATGGGGAATTATTGAAGAGGAGATATTTAGATGGCTGTCCCAAAAATTACCAACCATGATAACAGACAAAAATAACTTTAATTTTCTTGTTATTAACATACAACATATGAATTAATGAAGAAGATACCTGGAGGTGCCTCATAGTCAGAAGAGCTGGACATTATGGACCTATATTTTTGAGGATAGCTTTGTCCAATGATGCAGAAGAGTCCACACAGTTGTTGTAGGTGACTGAAGTGGAATTTATGTCTCCTGGGCCCTCGAGCTCAAGAGGAGCAGAGCTAACCTCAAGCAGCAGCTTCTTATAGCTGTGCGTTACTGACTTGCTTTGATGAAAACCACAAAGAAAATGTGAATTGATAGCTAGAACATCTTTCTAATAGGCTTGCAAAAATGAAAACTGTCCCTATTTAACTAAATTGTATACAATAAGACATTTAATAGAACTTCATTTGTACAAGATCTTCTTCATCACTCTAAAAATGCAAACTGAATTAGAAAAATGTCCTATTGTCAAAATATTACAATCAATCAATCTAGGCTGGTGATTTTTATAAGTTAAAATGCACCAGCAGAAGGCAGAAAGGCTATGGAAAGGAAGACACCAGTAACCAGAGTAAGAAGCAAAGGACTAATATTGGAAATAACAGCTAATTTGTTAATCAAAGGGAGACTTAAGTGACAGCCGAGGAAACGACATTTATGGGTAGAAATCAACATTAAAATCTACCCAGACATTGACAGTTTGACTTAAGACTGCTTGGTGACAACGTTTTTTTAAGCCCAATGAGTTCTATTCATAAATATATAGTTGGGTTAACCACAAAAACCTATTTTTTGTTATTTATATGGGTTACATCAACAAAATTCAATATTTGCATACATTGAAATAAATACAGTACAGGAACAAAAATAGACATGAGACTTTCTCATTGGGGCCACAGCCTCATAGAAATTAATGTATATTTCAGCCAGTTTGGTGGAAACCACACAGGATGCCTCGGGTTCAAGCAGCTTTCCAGCCTTCCTTGTCTAGTTCTGATCACTGGTCTCACAAGTAATCCTAAAAATACATCGCTTCGTTCCTTTTAATGTTTGAAAGAAGGGCAAGGCTGGTTGGTTCCAAAGAACTCAATACCTATAATATTTACTGTAAGATCTCAGACAAGTCATGAATAAAGAGAGCAGAGGCTTAATTTTAAAATATCTTAATTCATTGATTTTCTGACTATATTTTAATTTCTGATTTGGAATTTAAAAATCTGATTTCATTGCACTGAAATTGCCATGGGGCTGGATTTAGATAATTCTAAGTGAGAAGGCACAAACATATTGATCATTATTTTTGAATATCACTTATCACAATAAAATATGACTAACTGTATATGAACATACACATGATCCCATTTATAATCTGTCTGTTGCACTATGATGAAATGATTTAATTGTACTGAAATGACTGTAACCTCGTGGTATGATTAATCAAGTCTCCACTTGGGTAGATGTATTGTAAAGACAGAATCCTTTAAATAATGAGGTAGAAGGAAGGCTCTATATGTTTTGTGGTTTAGGAGCAAAAGTAAAGTCGCATAGCAATGGGCACTAATAATACCACAGAAAGGAAGAAAAAAGGAGAGGAGAGTAAAGAAGAAAACAAGAAGAAACAATTTATACAAATGTGCTTATTTAATTCATGGGTATGGAAGATTATTTACATTGATCATAAGCAGGTAAAACTAACTACAGGGTATACAAAAAGATGGTTAGTACTTGCTCTGTTGTTAAATTTCATATTATATGCATGTATTGTATTTATCATGTTTTTAAAGAAATTCTAGTAGACAAAAGTAAAAACAAACATACCTACTCAACATAAGGAAGAATTAATGTTGTGAGCAAATATTTATCTTCAAGAATGTTCCCTGGTAATGGTGGAGCATGCCTATAATCCCAGCACTTTGGAAGCTGAGACAGGACTATCACCATGAGTTTGAAGCTAGCCTAGGCTACATAGTGAATTCAAGGCCAGGCTAAACTACATAGCAAGACCCTGTCTCAAAAACAATAAAATAAAGTAAAATAAAATAAAATAAAACAAACAATGACCAAAAAAAGAATATAATAGTAGTGTTATATGTGAGGACCAAAATATTAGAAAAATATATGTGCATAAATGAGGAACTTATCAGTTTTCTATTAAGAGTGTATATCCTGTATAATCACTTGAATTAAGTATGCTTTATGACATACACATGTTCATGTAAATAAATGGATTGAATGAAAGTACAAGGTAAATAAACATTTAATTCAAAAGTAGAAAAGGATAGAAAAGAAATTGAAGTGCACATCTAAAGTGATGGCAGTAGTTTCCTCTGAGATGATTATAATTCCTTTGCATAATCTTTATTCTCTTCTTTTTATTTTAAAGAGAAGGACCCAAAAAAAGTTTCTCTGATATAGTTTTACAGTGCTTGCTTCAACAGCACATATGCTACAATTCTGATATACTTTTTTATTTCTATATATTTTATTACTTTTCATGGTATTGTATTTTTTTTATTTTAAAGAGTGTAGTAAATGAGAAACAAAGAAATAGAACAGTAGCAGCATACCAGTATCACAAACATAAACAAAGTCAAAGCAAGAACATTCCAAGTGATAGTCTCAAGACAAGATAATATGAATCAACAGTGGTTGTTCCATTGCATATCACTATCCTCAACTACATTGCTCAGATTATCAGACGTACGAATGAAAGATTGCTCAAACCATTATAGGGAATAAGAAAATAATTCTTCGATAAAACAGTAGAGAGAATACAGAGTTTCACTAGACAAGATGGTAGGAGTTCACCATTGTAATTCCACTGCATATTGTTACGTTCAAATCAGTTACTCAGACCACCAGACGCAAGCATGCACAATCGATCAGAACATGAAAAATTGTAATTATTAACTGTTCATTTCAATACACCATCAGACATCAGCAAAAGAGAATCGCGAGGCTTTTTAGGTAAAGGGACGCAACTGGAGACCATACTCATAAGTGAAATAAATTGGACCCAGAGGAGTAAACATCATATTGCCTCCTTGGTGCACGAACCTGAAAGACTAGGTAAAACTCAAAACGTACAATAGATGATAAGAAAGGGAAAGAAACTGCTCAAAGGAGGGAAAGACTGGGATGAGGGAAAGAAGAAAACAGAAGGAGCACAAAATATAAATATATATATGAGTAGCTGAGATGACTGATATAGTTTTTTTAACTTTCTGTAGACAGCATGATTTACTTTCTAAGAACCTAGAAACAGCAGTAACTTTCGGTCTTTAAGTTTTTTTGAATGTCATTGTTAAGAAAAATAAGGTATTATTTTCAATATTTCCCCCTTAAGTCACTGTGATGGTAATCAAATTCTCCTACAAAACCATTGAGAAAGTTTAAATTAAAGTTTAAATAAAATTAACATCTAATGACAGTTTATATAAAATTAAAAAATAAATTGCTAATAGATATTAGATTAATAACTCAAAGTATACAGAACCAATAAAATTTTTATTCTTACGATCTTTTCCTCTCACAGTCTTTCATTGCTTCTCTCCTCCTAGCTTTTTAAATGAAATTTTTAATGAATGACTGATTATTGTTTCCAAAGCATAAATCAGTGAGCTTCTAGAAATCTATGTTTTCTCTGAAAGTCTCACATGATATCACAGGAAGCAATCCACATGGGAGCAGAACTATATTGAATATTATTTCATGGAAAACTAAAAATTTTATATGTTTATTGTGTATAACATGATGTTGTGGATTATGTATATATTGTAGAATGCCTAAAATAATTAACTTGTTGTAATCACACATTCACATCTTTTAAGTTGTGCAAACACATAAAATCTACTCTTTTTACAATTTTCAAGAATATAACACATTGTTATCAAATATGGTCACCAGGTTATAAAATACATCTCTTAAACTTATTTCTCCTAACTGAAATTTTATATTATTTGAACAGTAATTCACTAAAGAATGTATGAGCTCCTCAAAAATTCATGTATTGGTATTTAAACTCCAAGATGATGGTATAAGATGGGACCACTGAAAGGTGACTAGCCCATAGGGAGGGCTCTTTCCTCATGTATGGGACTGGAACCTTCACAAAAGAATTTCTTGGTCTTTTGATTCCTCCTGCCAAATGAGGACACAAAATTTTTCTCTCTTTTCCCTGTTTGTCATATGAGGCCACAGCAAAAAGACCCTGTGTAAAGAATAGGCCTTCACTGGACCCAAAATGTGCCCAGCTGGATTACCAGCCCCAGAATGTCTTGAACCCCCCAAAATATATTTCTGTTCTTTACATAAGAAAAAAGGTCTATTGTTTAGTCTCAGGTTTTATGTGATAGGATCACAAGTGGGTTAAGATAATCCTTAATAACCACTACATAAATTTCAGAGGCAATTTTATTGTTTCCTTAAAGCCTAGTATCACCAAAGATAGAGCTCAGGCCAGGGATATAGCTCAGCGACAGTGTCTGCCTGGCAAGTGCAAGGTCATGAGTTAGATTCCCAGTACAAAAAAAAAAAAAAAAAAAAACTCTCACTATAACTAATAGTGGTTTTATACAAAGATTCTTCTATAATCAGAATTGTATCTGAGATTGTCATACCCATCTTGATTGTGATATTCAAATAGGATTCTGCTCTGTAAACTAATTGACCCAAAGACTTGG